CTCATTGCAATGGCATATTCAGCTAAAGTTATTCATGGAGGCATTATCTTTTTTCTAATGCCTCAGACCAGAATAAATGGCAGAGTAAATGCGCTACATTTCGCCCAATGCTTCTTACTTCAGAGAAGAAGGTCTTAATAGGACCTGTGGTAATGAGCGCTGCACAATAATATATTGTTCTTATGCATTATTTAATGTGACTGGGGGAAAGATAGTGTTTGTGTGCATTTGAAGTTCTGTATGAGAGCATGGAGCTCTCTTAATTGGCTTTCTCAAGAGAGCTAAAGGGAAATGCTGTTCTGGCAGAAGATATTGATCAATGTGACCATGCAGCATGATCTAAATCAGTGTCACCTTCAGATAAACAGAGGAAGACTAGAAGCAGCAGTTGAAGACGTCACAGCGAGTTTGCTATTATGCTACTCAGCCATTGTTTCTTGTTTACATAACGATATCATATCACTTTATCTAAATGGCCACATAAAGGTTCTGACACAGTGTCAGGACGACAGTTAAAGGCCGCCACCGTAGGATCACTGCACAACATTGGTTCTCCAGTCAGATGCCACTAATCATTTTTTTTATCTGAGGGTGACTGTCTGGTACCATGCAGCGGATCTCATGAGAATATAATGTGATGCTCCTCTGCAGTTTAAAATGCCATATGCTCTACAGTAGATGACATGTTGTTTCCAATTTAATATTTGTGTCAGGACCCCAGTGTCTCTTGTAAGGTTGAATATGGGATGTTTGGATTATGACGGCTGCTTACCGCTGGGCTCAGTGGAGTGTTCAATATCATACCACATCCTGCACAGCATTCCTGGAGGAATTAGCACTCTAACCTCCATATAGATCTTTATGTGGGTCTGTATCCTTCACTTCAGACAGCACGTCCCTGAGAGTGACTCTCCACTGCTTTCTTCCCTCACCAAGCCCCCATTGTACATTCTGGTCATACTCTCGTGCTACATTTTACATGCGACACTCATCATGTTGCCCCGAGCAGGTCAGCCTTTAAGCACCAGCGCTCACTGTGCGCACCTGTTTTATTAGTCTTTGTCAAAGAAAACAACAAAACCAACTTAGCCATGGTTAACAGGCATGCTCCACACACACGTTCATGCTCTTTGACAATAAGTGACAGCTTCCCTTATTCAGATGTACTGCTCAGATGTGAGAGGCTACATAAAGGCTTCTAGGATAAAAGGCGCCATGCAGCAATCATTATTTCCAAAGGTTACCAAGTCAGAATACCAATGTTCTCAAGACAAAAAAAGCCATGACCATGAGGCAAAAATCATGAAGTCTATCTACTCCGGTTCAGCCACGATAATATTTCTGGAAGGTTTAGGAGAGTTTTCAGCTGAATTGTATTTTATGCAGATGACAGTTTGTTTCATTTTTTTTGCTTCACATTTTTTGTCAATGAATGACTAAACATTTGCAAAATCATTTATGTTTGGCAGCATATGATTGACTGCAACCTATTTGTAAGAGTGGTTCTGTTTTCAAAATTGCTGGCCAAATGTAGAAAATAATAACGCAGCACATCCCAGCATGCAGTTGGAGAGAGGCAAGGTCAAATTTGTAGAGGTCATTAGTCTTACACAAGGCTCAAAGTCACAGTCACCTTCAAACTGGCAAAAAAGAGTTCATCTACATAGCCCAGTTTATTTTCCTCAACCTTGAAGAAACAAATATTCTGATTATATTATTCAAACCCAGGACACTTGCAATGAAATGTCATGGTGCTAAAATGAAAAACAAAAGTGTCCTGATGACATAATAAATCTGAGCAGGGTAATCATGTATCAAATATATCAAATAAGTGAACAATAGCTTTGTATACAACTTGAAAAATATCACTGCAGCAACCTCTTGGTGTAATACTTTAGTCCTCTTACTGTTTGCTCTTATTTAAATTCCTGATGCAGCAACGTTGACAAGTGTTTTATGCCTCTAGAGCCATGGTTGTTATTTACCTCCAGTGTTCACAGCTTAAGGGTTCACCACAGTTTTTATCCTTCAGAGTCACTTACTAACCTTAAAAAATGATAATAAGTCTAGCTCTAGTTTAATTGCTTCAGAGCTTTGGTGGCTACTCCTTTGATCTTTTTGGCTAGTTGTAATTACACCATTTCTTCAACTTTTCGTATTGCTTCTTGAGCACTAAATAACTTGCCTTGCCTTGGGAGAAACAGCTCTTCTGTGGTCTGATAACAACTTAATTGGTACTTATTTTCTCTTTTCTTTACTGTTTTCGTAATGCATGCAGAGTCCAGAATTCACACATTAACGAGAGGATCGTTTTTTATTCACAGAAATCACTTCTTTTAAGTCTGTCGCTGTTTGCGTCATGATGAGCTTGGTTGGTTATTAATAGAAAGTGCATAGATGCAAAGGCAGACTGAGATTTAAACCACTGGAAATAAAAATCAATCACATAACAAGACCATCGACCCTTCTCAGTTTCAACAAACTACTTTACCTTAATGCTGTGATCAGACTTTGCATCTTTAAACCAGCACACATGACTACAATACTGTACGTCTGTATATACTATATTTTGGAGTGGCTTGTGAAAAAATGATCTTGACAGCAAATATATACATTTTACAGTTGTTTGGTCTGCAAGCATGACTCACTGCAAAAGACTATGCTTTATGCAGAGAACAAAAACAGGTTTATACACCCTATTATGTATTGTATACTTCAGATGCAGATCAATAGCTTGTGTGCGCTGCTATTCTCTCATTCCCGCAGTGGCTGATAACCCTTTACTGGTCCCAATTTCATAATGCTAACACATGACACCGGCACCATGAGCAGCTGCTGTAACACAATGCAACAGAATGGCAAGGCAGAGAGACCACATTAATCTCACCCCATGGTCCGCATAAGCAACCTCGAAAGCAGAAACCCTTGCACACATGGCATTGTCACTTTCTTTTTATGCATTACCTGCAGAGGTATGAATTTGTCCGGCAGACAGTTTCCCGCCTGCGATTGCATTGCTAAACATGGAAGCGTTGGCAATAATGCACGATAATGATAATGACCACCCTGCCTGATTTCATTAGGCTTACACATGACAGCAAGTGCTCTGAGCTTCTGCTGTAACACCCCGCAACACATTGACAAGCCAAAGACGTGATCATTACAGCAACACACACACACACAGCTAGCAAAAAACGACATCTAAATACATAAGAGCCCTGCTGCATGCACTGCTAATTCAAATAGCAAATCCAATAAGGCTCAAGGGTTTCAACCCTCCTAAGAAGAACCCTCATTAACCTCTGTTTTTAGAAGTCTTTCAAGTCCCTTATGTTAAAACCTGTGTGGTGCACAGCTTTAACCAAACGTTATTTATATTTTCTCTATTCACTCAGTCGGTCTAAAACCCAGGATTCAGCATTTACTGAAGCACTTGAGCCCCTCAGCTAGCTGCTTGTACTTTTGTTTGTTTTTTACTATAAAGGCCATATACTGTGTGACATACAAAGGATGTTTTTTAACGCTCTTAGACACAAAAGGAGATTATAAGAATGTTGAACAATGCCAAGATCATGTGACAAATTACATGTGTTCAATCTTACTCTGACTTAATTTTACAGCTAGGCAGAGGTGTAGGAAGCACACATATAGTCCTTAGGCTCAATAAGAGTAAAGGAGGCTGTTTACAGATGCAGCTTACACTCACTGTTTCCCAATAACACTGCAAGCTGCAGTAACTCTCACTGCAAACCCTGATGTAGCAACATGGCTGGCCAATCCCTACATCTTCCCCAGGGGATGTCTTGGGAAGGTATTATGCGGATAAAGCAGAGCTATATGAGGGATCTTCACGTGACTTGAGTGTAAGCACAATGACACCTAACCCCCTCCTCAATCTAATAGATTTACAACCTTGCTACCTCCATGCGGGCATCCTGGACCCTCATTTCTCCCATCTGTTGTTGCCCGTGTCCTCTGAGTGATAAACAGATATTTCAGTGACCTCTCCAGCCTGCGTGCCAAAATTAGAAATGGCAGAGCATAACAAACTTCCTAGAAATGCTGAGTTGAATCAAAGCAGGCTGAGCTTATTGAGTAACTGGTATATGATGAGGGGGGCTAAAAATTCCAAGTACTTTACAAACATAATTGCCAGCACTCAGTCATAGCGCCCATGAGATTATTATCATGCTGCATCAGTGTTTCTGTAACTCTTTATCATCTCTTAACCTGCTCGGCTGATTGTCAGAAACACATCCTGTCGAGGCCTCCACTCAACACCATCAAATAAAACAATAATCTCTTTTTATATATTTAAACTCAACTCAAAAGGGACATTACTGAGTTTTGATCTTCCAGCAAGCTCTGTGGCTCCACAGAAAAAAACTGTCCACTCTCTCTGCACTCAGTGGAACGGCCCGATGGGGAGGATTTCAGAGCTGCTGCTAATTTATGAAAAGTCTTCTTCTCTGCGTCGTGCTGATGCAGACACGCCCGGTCCATTTCCACATGCACTCCACTCTCTGGGAATTAAAGTCATGTGTCACTGTTTAACCATATTTCATTGCACACTTTGGAGCCCAAAACACATATAGAATGACAGGGCTGTTTTGGACCCATCTACCAACTGACAGTAGGCCTATGCACTTCCACAGAAACTGCTCCAACACGTGAGGAGTCGGACTAACTATCTCAAGTAGCCTGAACACATCTCAGCTATATCATACTATCCAGCAGACTAGTTTGAATGGCTGCTCTTAAAATAGAGCAAAAATGTGCACATTATGCAAGAAGATAGATAGATAGTCTATCTAGATAGATTGATGGATAGATAGATAGGCCTATTATTCTAGGCTATATATAGTTGTTTGCACAATCGATGCACCACATCACAAATGTGGAGCCTGTTCAGCTCTTCAGAGAGGCACACATTTATCCATGCTTGTGTCAGTAGTGCAAAGCCATCGCACATTTCTCACCAAGTCTACTAAGTGACTTACCAAAAGTGGCACTAATAATGCAGACGCCGAAGGGTTGATCCTATTGCACATGATTTCCGCCGTCCACACACTTGTCTCTCTGGATACATTCACTCTCGGATGGTAACGGGAGTTCATTTATTCCATATCGACGCGTAAAAACCTTCTCATTAGGCTCTTGAGGGCTCGTGCTGGAAAATCCAACGGACGTGATGAGCGACAAATGTGCCGCTCAAGTATCACCAACAAGAGACAGAGGGGTATTCTCCAGTTACCTGCGTCGCGAAAAAACCCCACCTTAAATCCCAGTACGATCCGATTAAGGCGTAAAATACATAAATTGTAGACCCGAAATCTCCCCCCAAAAAATCCAAAAGCTCGGGAGAGTCCGAGACTTGCCTTTCAGAGGGGTTAAGGCGGCAGGACGTGGTCCTATCAAGTCCCCCGCGTACGGGTTTGTAACGCAGGAATACGATTCAATTCCCAATAAATCTCCCTCTTATTATGAATTGCAGCACAGATGGAGTCAGGACAGAAAAACTGCAGTCCAGGGCTCGTTTGGAGGCGATGTGCTGCGCTCCTGAAAAAAAGCCCCTGACGGCTGAAGGTTGGCGTCAAATTGAAGTCCGTGAAAAAAATTGGCGAAGGTCGAAAAGTCTAGTAATTACAGCTATACGGCGCAGTTATCACGCCTGCTTTACTGGCAGCTGTTTACCATTACTGTAGCAATTTGTTGTCATAACTTCCTCCGTCTGAAGCGCAATGAAGGAATCCCACCCATGCACTAATACCCTGTTTCCCCCCCCCCCCCCCTCTTTCTTCTCTAATAGGCTTCTATGCGTACCCATGCGAGCAATTAGTTTTCATACATGACTGTCCGCTCCTTCAACAAAGCGATGCGGTCGATTTCTCCGGGCGGGATGTGGCAGGGAATCTTGCTGTGTCCTGGAGAACAGGCAGCCTTTGAAAATGCGTCTCTACTCCTCATGCAGGCGTCCACCTGCGTAATAAGAGCCAGATATAAATGCATACATATTGTCACGCCATGATGTCTGGAGCACAGCAGAGCCAAGTGGCCAGTGGACAAATTCTTGGTAAGAGAGGAAAACGACTGACACCTTTCATGGACAGTGCAGCACTGCAGCAATGTGATGTCATTTGGGCTGCATTTAAAGCTGAGGGTTTCTTTTTCCTGTGGTGAAGATGAGAGTGATATGCTTTCTCATGATGGTGGGATCATATCTAGAGGAGGTGTTTGCGATACTCCGGGCTGGGCTGGCAGCTCATGGTCCACCACAACAAGATACTGCAAAGGTGGGGAGGGAAGTGGATGGAGGTGGGGTGGGTCATTGCTGCACTTTTAAAAAATCACATCCACAACCCCCCTATCGGCGAGTTTACTGCTTTGTGTTCTGTCTGTAATGAATAGTCTATAGGCCTACCCTTCTTTTTTTCTTATCCCTCTCAATCTTGAATGCCCATCATGATAAGCAGCAGCACAAATAGCTTGACCACCCACATGTCTGAGGCATCATTACTTTGCTTCGGGTCAAGCACTCTGCATTGGAAATGGGATATTAAGAGAAAGGGGGAAAAAAGAAAATATCCTCCCACAATGAAAAACAAAACAATACAAGGGATAATCCTCTCAGAGATGCAGAAGAAAGCCAGAGACAGCCCATCCTTTATTATAATGTTCACATCCGCAATATTCCTCTAAGAAGAGGATAACATGTGTTTTTTGGTGCATATTCATCCCCTAGAGTATTATCTGATTGCACGGAGGCCGCAGGACATGTGATGGGGAAAAGTAATTCTTGTGTCTTCTCTGACAAATCCTGTCAAATCAGACTGACGTGACTGCAGGGGCCTCATACATATTGCAAAGAAACAGACTTGCATTGCATTGTATGGATGGTGAATATTAGAGAGCTACAGAGAGTGAGGAGAGGAAAGAACAACCTCACATTTAAAGTACAGGTGATTTAAACGTAATGTCTGCTGTGAGCAGAATTAATTTGCTGTAAAAAGTACGTGGTGTTATAAGAAAAGATTAGATACAATAAAAATATCACCCATAACCGGTCCCGAATGTAGGACTATAATAATGTGAGGGGATAAAATATCCATAAATAACAAGGTTACTGCTCATAGTAGAGTACCACAGTCGCACTTCATGTCCTAAAAAGGAAAATTATATAATTGTAAATCATAATAGGAGTATTTCGTTTTCTCTCGAATTGCCTTACATACATCCTCCTCTCTTACTGCAGCTGCATTTCACATCATCTTTGTTTCACTGCTGCAACATGACAGGTGTTACAATAATCTGATGTGCCACCCTTTGTACAAGAGCATCAGCCTGTTGTAATTAAAGGACAGTTCATAATGGGCTGGGCACCTCCAGGGCATTATGAATGGATCGGTAGGATGTGACACATTTTGAGAGACTTTCAAAGCACGCTTCATGGTAAAACCACGACTTAACAGTAAGTCGAGAGGTATTCCCAGCATAGTCAATTTAAATAGGATTGAAACCAGAGGGAGACATTTCAATTAAAATGCACTCTCAAACTAGTTTTTTGCCTTTTGAATAGATGACGATCTTCCAAAATGTAAATCGCCAGAACGCCGACACCTCCTCATCACTCCACCGCTCCCATGTTTTTTTTTGTGTTGCCATAAGTTAGTCTCTCTCCGTTGGTGCGCTGGGCTAATGCTAATGCTAATAATGCTAATGCCAGCAAATACAATGGCGGCTTCACAAAACGAGTTTTACGGGACGTGGTTTGCAATTCGCCCAGCCAATCAGAAATGGGAAGCTTTTTCTCCCAGGAAAGTACCTGCTCTCTAGCAGGGACTAAAAAGGGGGTGAAAAGGTTCTCATGAACTAAATTCTAGTTCCGGATTTTTTTGGTGTGAACTCAAAATTTCAAGAACTATCGGAACTATACTGGGAAAAGTACTCCGGTGTGAAAGCGCCTTTTGTGCCGCAGAACGTGCTGTAGAGTTTATGTTTCATTAGGTGATTGCTCTGAGCCCGATGTGAATGAGCATGTGTGTTGATGGGGTGGGGGAGTGCATGGGACGCATGCAGTGAATACTGATGGAAATTCAGAAAGAGCCATGAAGGAAGCCAATCTGCTATTTATACCAGGCTGCACTCCATGGGGCAAAGCTCCCTTTCGCAGTAATGCACTGTAAAAGTGATTGATTAGTGTGATATTGAGAGATTGTCCGTCTTAACTGTCTTCACTCACCAAAGTGATGAAATTACTGCACACTATTCTTTGAAAGCATAATAGCAGATTAGGTCAGTGTGAGCCATCCTCTCTAATAAGGAAACTTGCCGTTCTCTAAAGTGCAAAACATAAGAGGGGCGTCTGCTCTCAGATCCAGTACACACCACGCACCCAGCCGCTAATATCCCTCAGAGGGTGCGTTTAATGACCTGGAACATATTAGATACTGAGGTTGCTCAATTTAGGTTCAGGTGTACATAGCCTTTGTATGTGTCCACCTCAAAATGTCATTTTTGACATAACACAGTTGCCCATAACAAATTGCTCGGATCAATTTCCATTAAGGGCTGTGAAACTCCCTGTTTACTCTCCACGGCTGAGCCCAAAATAACTACAACGTTATGCTCCGTCAGTGTCAGAAGTGAATGGGTCACGCTTGTGTGTGCAAAGTTTGAATAGAGATTAGAGAAATACCGATACTAAATTATAAATATAAAGTAAAGATCAATATTCATCATATTAAAAGCACAATTTTAAGATTTGGTTGGCTTCAAAATTGTTTAAATCATGTACCAAACCAAAAGAAAGTACTCTTATTTCCTAATAGTATCCACAATATGTTTTGAATGAAAGAGACTCAACATCTGTAGTGAGTAAATGAAAACATGCAGATCATTTTGAAAGTTTAAATCCTTTTTTAAAAGATTTTGAATAGCTTTGAGATGATCGATGAAGGGAACTGGCATAGTAAGACGGGTACAGGATATGTAGATACTTTTAGATTGTTGTTGTTTGGTTTGCTAATAAGAATTTAATTGTTTTGATTCTTGTTGTTTTTTGTTATTTGGTCAAGGTGTGGATAGTGAAACTGAGGAGGAAAGCTATAATGATTATGTTTAACATTGAGTTTAATGATTATATATAAAGTATGACTTCATACATACAGCTTTTCCTACTTCTTTTTCAGACACAACATGGTTTTATTGAGTTTTTTGCAGCATTTGGATGCTGGGTAGTCTCTTTTTAGTTTTTTTTAACACATATTTTTTACATAATCAAATTGCAATATAAATCTAACTAAGCGTCGAGAATAAAAACATTGTGGAACAGGAACATCATTGAGTGTATAGTGCGCTCTATATTGGATTTCAGCAGTCTTGTTGATACAGTTGAATTACCCTGTGCATTAGTACTCTCTCGCGGTGCAATAGGTCCTCTTAATGTGCTTTAAACTCTCCAGCTTACCATCAACATCGGAAGCACCGTAGATGTGATTTTCACTAAGGGTCTCTAATTGGCTTATCAGCGGTGTTTCCTTAACATGGTGAAATAACAGGCATGTGTAGGGAGCTGCATGTTTCAACTAAGGGCCGCCTGTATGGGGGGGCATAGGTTCATGTGGAGCGCTCAGTCTTTGATGTTGGAAGCAGGTTTGTACTCTGCTTTCTGTAGAATCGAAAGAGAGTGATGAGAGAGAAGGTGGGCAAACACCGTATGTTATATAAAATAAATAAAGATAATACCTTCTGAAGAAGAGAGAAACCAAACCAAGTTGATGCAGACTGAAAAAGGTTGAAGCCTTGTTACCATAATAATTTTGTCATAATCATATATGTATATACCCAAAAATCATATGTACAAACCTCAGTCTTATATTTGTTTATCATCAAGTGTATTTCACGCAAATGCCTGTTAGGTAATGCTGTTAATGATTAAAATCATGACGTGTTTGACAAACTCCGGGAATCTGGTACATTTCCTGCTCTGCATGAATGAGGGGTCGCTCTCAATGAACTGCTTTGTTCCATTTACCGGGTACAGTCATGCTTTTATCTCATGTTTCATATGTACTGTATCTCAGCCTTGGTCTGCTCAACACTAAACAAAATATAATGGCACTTATGGCTTAAAGTGCTCTTCAATGTGTCTTTGTAAGAGAAAACATAAAGGGGGCCATCTGGGGAAGTGTGAGGCACAGCTCACTCGCTAGGGATCTTCTGAGTCTCTCTTTATCAAGTTATAAAAAGAAACCTGCTGCTCTTTAAGAACAAAAGACAAAGCTTTTAGAGTAAAGACCAACATGTTGTAGCTGCAAAAGCTCTCATCAGTATTACAGGGTAACATGAATAGTTAATTCTCAGGGGCATCTTAAATAGCCACTTTGATGCCAGCATTTAAAAACATTAAAATTATATCACCATGTTCAATTCTGATCTGACATTTTAATAAAACAGTTAGAGGATAGGTTTTAAAATCAGGTCCCCCATTTATTAATTTAGGGGTAAGACGTTTAAAAAAGGAAAGATCCAAAAGGTCTCCCTCTTCTTTTTTTTAATAAAATGT